CTCGTTATTGGGATTTGTTCGTGTGTGAGGATGTTACGTAATGTTTGGAGGAACATAAAATTCGCTTCAGTCAGAAGTTGCGGAAGCTTAAGAAGGGCCATGTCTCGTTTACCTGTACATAATAATGGATTTTATGGTTTCAGGGGTTAACAAATATTGTCTTAGTGCACAGTTCACTTGTAAGACATATTTGCGCTTACCCATGCCACTGGCCTGCTTAAGTTCTCTCTGAAACATCTCTGCGTGTACGCCATACATTGAATAGAAAACCTTGTGGAAGGCAAGTTCTGTGTGCCGAAGGAGATATCTGGTGTGCCGACTTTGGTTCACATCATATTTTCACCTGTAACATTTTTTTGCGTGACTTATAAGACGGGGTTTTTGATTGGATGACTGGATTTATTGCGCCTTATTCACACAACTCGGGACTACAGGCAGTACAGCGCTATCGCTGTTCTACACACTTTACAGTTCACCATTATACACTCACTTGACTTCCCAGTCTTGACTGGTCTTTTCCTGGCAACGGATTTTTCACAGTCTCACTGTAACTTGAAATCACATATGAAGTCTCCTCTGTACTGTCTAACTCCTTTCTTGCTGTTTCTTCTGAATCACCTTCGACTGCCACCTCCAGCACTCGAGCCAGTTCTTGACACAACTAACTCGAATGAACTCTTCTTCAACTGAACTCTCTCAACTTCTGACAACTAAATTGAAACGCCATTGTTTGTCCCTTTATAACCCCTATGCACGGACCACGCAGAAAACATAGCCTCTCTATTGAGAAAGCTTGTTTACTGAGCCCTTGCCTAGCAATGGACGTTGTATCGTTGCGCGCGTTGGCTCCCGCGGGAGTGTGTTTACCAGGTTGCCTAGGAAAGGGTCTCTAGGTCACAGTATGTAGTGTAGTTTGTATACACAGCAGAAGATGGATCTGACAGTGGTATGAACTGGACTGATGACTTTTGTGAACACGGTAATGGACCTTCGGGTTCCATAAAATTGCTGGGAAGTTGGGAAGTTCTTGAGTAGCTGGGCAACTGGCGGCTTCTCAAGAAGCTTATATACACGAGGCCCCGAGAGGGGTTTGATGGAGCCTGGATCGGTGACAAACGTGGGGCGCTCGCACCAATCCGAAAGCTACATGAATACATTCAGTAAGTAGCTTAGGAAAGTGCATTATGAGAATCTTCGTGATATAGACATCAACGAAACGTCGGAATGAGTAGACGCGGAATGTCAGGCTGTCGTTTCGTCAGTCATGACGTCACATGGTGTTGATATTATCACATTCCACATACCGTAATAATCCTGGCCTTGTTTTTACTCATTAGTGTAACGCGGTTTATCTTTAATATTATCATGTTTGCCTGAGAGTGAGACAGGCTCAGAAGAACTCATGTTGGAAGACAGTCATTTCGGAATGTCTGTTCATTGCCTTTTGCACAAAAGCCTGCCACCGATGGCTATTCTCTCAAAGGATCAGGAATAATAACAGGTGTCGTGACCAAGATTCGAAAAGAACACCTCCCGAATATGCATGCTCGGTCTGTGCGGTACTGAGCAGCTGTCGCCATTTTCAGTCGGCTTTGCTGCATTTTATGAAATAAACTCCGAATGCATTATCCGGATATGAAGAACATGATTTATGTTAGCATTAAAAAATTTATCGTTCCATACGCCAGTTGCAGTTTGTTTCTAGCATATGTGGGGGCACTATGCTAAAAGCCGGGAGGTCGCGGGTTCGATTCCCGATGAGGTCATTGCATTTTTCAATTGGCCTAACCCTTCCAGCCGCACTATTGGCCTGGGGTCGATTCAGCCTCTAACAGAAATGAATACCAGGAATCTTCCTGGGGGTATAAGGCTAAGAGCCTCACCGCCATCTGTGAGCCGATTGTCTAGAGCATATGTGGGACACTCAATGTCTCACAAACCTATTGGCCTCCACGGCCTGTTAACATGAATAACTTTACCTTTTTCTCTCTCTTTCTTCTGTCATATGTGGATCCAGGATTATTAAAATGTATCCCCGCAAGAGCCAAATATTGAGGATTTCGACCTTTACAGTAGTTATTATAGCCGACAGATCCTGACATCTGTAGGCATTCTATATGAACTACATGGCCTGGAAACGAAGGGAATTTTTGTACTTTGCGTTTGAAATACTTGGGGAGTTTTTATTATCACGTGATAAATGTGACAAGAGGCGGGGTTTGGATTGGTAACCGGATTTATTGGACACTTACATTCGTGATGTCTTCTCAGTCTTAACTAGCTGTCGCTTGGTAGCGGCTTCTAACGGCGGGCATTCCCCTTACTCTGTGTTCCCGAACTGTCCCCGGCCTCAATTACCATCTTCTCACTTCTCACAACGCGGAAGGGACCGCACAGAAAACGTGTCTTCCATTATTGTGTGTTCTCTCGTTGCTGGGGAAACAGCGTGTCACCAGAGCCGTTCCTTAGCAACGGCTGTTGCAATGTCACCTGTTTACACAGCTGTTACTTGGTACACTGGACCAGCAGCTGTGATGTAGGGCTGGGGTTAAGGTTATACCGTGACTTCGTAAACAGCCTGCACGTAAGAGCTGGAGATTTCCGTGAGAGTTCAGAGGTAAGTGCAGAAGCCCGTAAACATAAATATTTGCCTTGGCAATGTTGGGCTTCTCTGTTGTCCGGCAGGTGCAGAACGCGAGGCGTGCTCCGTTTGAAACTATTCCACTTGACCGTTTCCTGAGAACCAGGGAGCACACCTGGATGTGTACCGGCTCCTGCATGCCGAACAGCTGCGGCCACTGGAAAGTGTTTTGTGCTGCAAATCAGGAGGTCGCGGGTTCGATTCCCGATGAGGTCATTAGATTTTTCAACTGACATAATCCTTCCAGCCGCACTGTGGCCCTGGGGTCGACTCATCCTCTAACAGAAATGAGTACCGGGAATGTCCCTGGGGATTAAGGGCGGCCGGCGCGTAAGGCTGATAATCTCACCATCTGTAAGCCGATTGTCTAGAGAAAATGTGGGAGCCTCGACGTCTCACAACCCTATGGGCCCGTTACAGGGTCAGCTTTATTTATCCCACCTCGCAATCTCAGCCCCGAATTATCACACTCATAATTATGTAATTTTCTCCATCCTCTCGTTTCTCTCCCTCTCTTAGTTGCTAATATTCTCCTCAGCACCCTTTTCTCAAACACCCTCGGTCTGTGTTCGTTCGTTGATGCGAGGGACCAAGTTTCACACCCAGGATTTTGATATTGACGCCTGTGGACAGCTGGCAGGAAGGCCGTGAACTAAATTGCAGTGAGGTTTCTCCGAATCTAATCTGCGCTTTATTTCTTCGCGAATGGAATTTTGGTTTATACCTACTAAAGTTAAAGTTGTCCCTGTGCTTAATTAAGCACTGTGCCATTAAGACGTATGGAAGAGTGGAGGTATAGCTCCACCGTTCTTGAGCTTAGCACTATTTGGTGGCGAGTGGTCAGCTTCACGCCCAGGCCAATTTACACAAGAAGGAAGAGCCCCCGGTACCCATTGAATAGGAGGTTGGGTGGGCCCTAGAGTCGGTCTGGAAGCTGTGAAGAAGAGAATAAATCTTGCATTGCCTGGAATCGAACCTGGGCCGCCCAGCCCGCAGCTATATCGATTGAGGTGTCGTTCCCAACTCTGAACTCTGCCACATTCTGTAAGGGCTTGTGGTTGGTAGGTCGGAGATTGGGTGCGTTGGTTCGTATGGTTTGCTTGTTTGTTAACTCCTGTTCTCTTCCGACACTACTTAGGCTAGTTACGTTATCTGTTCGAGGACTTATCTACCGATTTATTTGTCCACACGAGAGTAGACGCCATTCCGGAGTTAGTACTCGAGTGCGTTCTTGAAAATCGTCTTTCTAAGTCGAATATAAATTTCCCATACTTTTGCATGTTATACTCGTAAATTGAGAAGCGTTTCATGAATTTGCAAAAGAAGATATTATGAAGCGCTATTTTCTCTTTAAGTGAATAGTTTAGTTAAATAAGAGCACAGTAAATATGCAAATAATATCTGTAAACATATTTCAAGATGGCGGGACAACGGTGTGACTTGAGAGCGGGCGGGCTAGTCGCATCTCGCGGCGGAACATCGACCGAATATACGAGCGGGAAAGTACCGGACTCGAGGCGTTGAAAACTCTCGATCATAGGATGTCGATTTCGAGGTATCGATATGTAAATCTCATGTAAGTCAGGATTTGTCGCAAGTCGAAACTTCAGGATGTTGGAAGGTATATATTGGGCAGCCCATAGAGCTGGTGGGCCCGCTTTTGCGCGCTCTTCGGGTGTGAAATCCTGTTGCCTAGCAACCATTTTGATCATGAACATATCTTCACAGATACCATAAATGTTCTCTTGATCATGGGCGCCGGTAGGAGGTTGGTAAGGCCTGTCCCTTTTTTGAAAAATTGGAAAAAAAAAATTTAAATAAATACATTAAATGGTAATGCCAGAAGCTGAAATAGTTTTTAAACGTGGCACCATCAGTGTTTCAGTACAGACCCCCACAGCTCCAGACCGATCCATACAAATATCCTTGAATGCCGTAAGTATAAGTTTCTAAGCTAATATTCTGCTTACCCCGCCCCCAACCCGGAAGACATGCTCTGACCATAAACTGCACGGTCTGCACTGTGCTCACGGATGTCACGTCGTTCCTATACAGTGCGCATGTCTTCTGCTGGCCACCCGCCTTCATGCACGTTCCTTGCTCGGCTTATTCTTATACGCGAAATGTTCCTCCGAAACGTCAGTTGACTACACTACTCTTCATTACCACCGCTGTGAGAACCTCAAACCCTAAACATTGCACATGTCGGGTTTAAAGTTCTGACAGCTGTAACTGCGAAGAACACTGAGTTATGTGATGTAATTTCGTGTAGTCTGGTAGAAATTCTTGTACGACATCATATTCCCACGATGTACAGTACTGTCCTGTCTTAGGAAACGCTTTGCATGTTCTATTGCAGCCTGAAGTCTATGGGTAAATTGCCTCCTCCGACAGTGGCCGGAGCTGGAGGCACCGTCACTGTGAGAACTAACCCCCCTCCTCCTCAAGGGACAGCCAATCGAGTCTCTGTAGATACCAACCCGGCTTCGTCTCTTCAGCCGACTTCGGCCGCCATGAACGGGACAGGGGATTCAATCAGGTGAGTGTCTTTGCTTCCAGTAACCTCTTCCTCCGACATTTGCATTCCAAATGTTGTCACGTGATTGAGTGACTGTAGACGAGGTTTCGATTGGTAATAGGATATATTGGACGTTTACGCTCTTAACTACAAATAACTGCGACAGTCTCACTGAGTTACAGGCTCCAAAGATTACTGTAACTACAGCACACATAAAGTCTTCTCAGGCTTCACTAGCCGTTGCTTGGTAGCGGCTTCCTCTGGGTTCGCGAACTGTCCCCTACCTCAGATACCAGTTTCTCAGTTCCAGCAACTGTAACTCAACTAAACTCAGACGTCAGGCTCAGGGTTACTTTACCACTGGCGGTTTACTGCCAATCCGTCTTGGTGCCAAGCCCCTTCAGGATCACGACCAGATTTCTTTTCTGCAGTCGAACCCTTGCGGCCATAGTCCTTATGTAACATGCTCTCTGACGAGAATCTGTTTGTCGCTTATGGATATGCTTGTCATTTTCTAGGCAGTCGGCTCACAGATGGCGGTGAGATCAGCCTTACAGGCCGGCCGTCCTTTACCCCCCAGGAAGATTCCTGGTACTCATTTCTGTTAAGAGGCTAAGTCGACCCCAGGGCCACAGTGCGGCTGGAAGGATTATGTCAATGGAAAAAAATCCAGTGACCTTATCAGGACTCAAACCCGCGACCTTCCTGCTTGTAGCATAGTGCCTCGTCCAACTACGCTACGTCACGGTATGTTTCTGTGTTAGGGCAGGAATTTAGTATTGCGTAAGAATAAGTCGGCGTCTGTTTTGGCAGTGAGTTAGTTCTTGTTTGATAGTTTACAGGTTAACGTGTTTATATTGCGTATGAAGGTTGTAACAGTCGTGTACAGGTTAACGTGTTTATATTGCGTATGAAGGTTGTTGTAACAGTCGTGGGGAATTCAGCGGGACGCCTCTTTTCTCTCGTGCTTCGAAATGATGCGTCGATGCCGACGTTTAACGCCATCTCCCCCGAATAACACGCACAAATACGTCTCCTTTATGTAGTGTACTACACTCGACATAAAAAGGTGAAGTTGTCCCTGTGCTTAACAATTTAAATGCTACTCCATGAAGGTGTATGGGTGAGTGGATGTATAGATCCACATTTTCTTGACCTTGGCACTAGCTGGAGGTGAGTGGTGAGCTCCACACCGCACCCGCTTTACCCCCGGAGAAAGAGTCCCATATACCCATTGGATAGGAGGCTCACTGGGCCCCAGAGCCGGTCAGGAGAAGGAAAAATTCTTGCCCTTACTGGGACTCGAAGTACGGCCCCTCAGTCGTCCAGCCCGTAGCTATCGCTATACCGACTACGGTACCACATACTCGACATATCCAAATCAATACGAGTATATTGTCGGTACTCACAGAGTAGACACGACACACGGAAAGAAAAAAAGAGACTGCTCGCTTGTTCGTCAGCTACTACATTACATAGTAACTCTGTGACAATCCGTTGCTATGGTAACTTGCAATTGCGTAATGACGAGAGGATTGGCGCCTACAAGGCAGAGTGATAACCCTCCTGGCGTATTGGCCCTCGTCGAGTCCACCGACTGAGATAGGGATTGTGGGATATGTATGGGTCATATCAGGGTCGTGGTTGCAGTGTAGCTGCAGCCACTGTCCTGCTACTTCTTACCACACTTCTCGCCTGAAACCCAGAAGCCACGTCGAAATACATGGCATGTAGCTCCTAACATTAAGAAAAGAGTACTTTCTTTCTAGACCTGTTTTAATCCAGTAGTAGACGTTCACCGACGTTTCGGGGGAGTTTTCGTTCCGTCTTCAGGGTTAAGTAAGCCAAGCAAGGAAACTATACTTGATTTTTTCTGGTTTATTTTTACGACCCTCATGATTGGAACAGTACGTTCCTCCGAAACGTCGATCAACAACCACAGTATGCGGAGTGACATCCCAGAACACAGTACTGAGAGCCTCACGTGTCGCGTGAAGTAAGAGTTTATTATAGGTGCGTGACGTCACATCCGTGCGTGTTGTCTCCTGAAGAGCGACCCTGCCCGTCCGCAGCCCCAGTCGCCCCAGTGCGGCAAGTCGTCGTAAAGAACGCCCTGTTTCAGTACAGTGTGCTCACCAAATTGGTTCACAGAGTGCGGGTCCTGACTTCTGTTCCGAAGTCCGATCGCGACCAAGACTGTCATGTCGCTCAGTTCCTGCACGCAGGCGCAGGAGTAGTGCTTACTCCCAACCATCTGTCCACCGTTCGGCGATGTGCAGTGCCGTAAAAAAGCCTAACTTACTTACTCATGGAGCTGAGCCCTTTCTTGAGGAGCCGCCAATTCTGCAGCTACTCAAGAATTTCCCAGCATTTTATGGGACCCGAAGGTTCATTACCGTGTTCACAACAGCCCTCCACTTGTCCCTATCCTGAGCCAGACCAATCGAATCCATACCATCCCATCCTACCTCTCTAACATCCGTTTTAATGTTGTCCATCCACCTACGCCTTGGTCTTCCCAGTGGTCTGTTTCCTTCCGGCTGTCCCACCAGTAGGAAAGAGACCACTGGGACTCAGCCACCGAAGAGAATTCCACACAACATAATTTGTGGATTGTATAATGCTTTTATGGGCGCAGGTAGCGCAGTTGGTTGAGGCACTATACTACAAGCCGAAAGGTCGCGGGTTCCAGTCCCAATGAGATGGATTTTTCAATTAACCTACTCCTTCCAGCCGCACTATGGCCCTGGAGTCGACTCAGCCTCTAACAGAAATGAGTACCAGGAATCTTCCTGGAGTTAAAGGGCGGCCGGCGCGTGAGGCTGACAACCTCACCGCCATCTGTGAGCCAGTTGTCTAGAGAATGTGGGAGCCACGACGTCTCACAATCCTATGGGCCTCCACGGACTGTTACAGGGAGAGCGTCACCTTTATTTTACACTGCTTTTACGTTTTGAACCTTGAATTTAATAATTCAGTTCGTGCCTCACAGAAAACAAACTGCGTCTCCAATACTAACCCCAAATTAGAGATATTCTTTTGTGAAGTGAAGGCCCGGGTTCCGTGCCTTGCAGCCAGTTAAGTGCAGAGGATGTGATACTGTGCTGCATGCTGAGAGCTGTCGCGCGCTCTGTGGCGGGAGCATGTAGCGATGGTGGAATGATGATTAGGAAGAAGCTCGGAGAGAAACTTATCTTAATATCCTCTCATCCGCCACGGATCCGCCGGCGCCTATTCGCCTGAGTTGCTCATTGTGAGAACCTGTGTTACAGGATGTAACCGTCCTTACCTCACCTTCACTCCCCCCCTTGTTGATTGGTTAGTCACGCGTTGTTCGTCGCTCCTCTCCTTCTTTCTTCTTCTTCTTCTTAGGATGGGCGCCAGTAAGCTCAGGTGGTGTCGGCTTCCAATAGTCGGAGGTTTATTTTGGAAAGGGGGGTAAAGGTGATAGTCAGCTAGTTCAGCTGTGGGTAGAGCTGGGATCCTTCTCAGAGCGTTTGCTAGGGCCTCGCTTAGGACGGGGAGGGAAGTAGTTGGTTCAATGCTAATTAACACTTAAACACTGTGACCATTTATTGCGATCAGCACTTCCCTTCACCTGATGGCACACACAGTCAATACAAAGGATGCTTATATGTAGGTCCTTGTCTAGCACAGTCCTGGTATAACGGACGTTATTATTACAATTTACACTTTCTTTAGCACTGTGAATTTGGTTATACAGACAGCGAAAAACACAGATTTGTTCCGAATTATTTACGAGTAGCAGGCACTTGCGACCGTTTGGCAACTGTTTGTCAACTTGTGACTCTTGGTCTCAAAACACTGAGGTCCCCTGGACGTCAGTTCCTCTGCTAAGTCACTCCCCTTAATTCCACTGATTGGGTAATTTTGAGAACTGGGGTTTACACAATTTCTGAATCTCCAATCAGCTAGCTGCAATTTGGGGCTTTGAACCTTAAAGTCCTAACATCGTTTTTGACAGTACACTGACAGATAACCTGCTTGGCGTGGGCTTCAAAACCGCCTACTTTTAAGTTACGACGTGCAGGACCTGTCAGTGATCGAATTCTCAAAGTTTGCCGCCGTGCTACTCACAAACAAAATTTCTCAGAAAAAGCCACAGGGGGTGTTTCCTGTGTAACATCAAGATTTGGAATAAGTCCATTCCTGAAAACAAGAATGTGACTATGTCCCACTGGCTTTGGTATTACTTGTTACCTGCACTTAATTTTTATTACCGGTTATTCTAATTATTAAATTGGCGAGTGACAGTGGAGCGGTTACAAGGAGGGTGGTGCATATACTTACCACTGTATTGTAAGGACTGAGGTCATGGATTCCAAACTGTGGGTCGGGATCACATAGGTTCCCAAAATTCTCAGTAATTAATTAAAATGTAGCCGGATGCATACACTTCAGGGAGAATATTTGGACCGAAGAGAGATGAAGTGACAGGAGGTTGGAGAAAATTACATAATGAGGAGCTTCATAACTTGTACTCTTCTCCAAGTATAATTAGAATGATCAAGTCAAGGAGGATGAGGTGTGCAGGGCATGTAGCATGAATGGGGGAGAAGAGGAATGCATATAGGGTATTGGTGGGAAAGCCAGAAGGAAAGAGACCACTAGGAAGACCAAAGCATAGGTGGGTGGACAATATTAAAATGGATCTTAGAGACACAGGATGGGATGGTATGGATTGGATTGATCAGGCTCAGGATAGAGACCAGTGGAGGGTTCTTGTGAACACGGTAATTAACATTCGGGTTCCATAAAATGCTGTGTTATTCTTGAGTGGCTGCAGAATTGGCGGCTCCTCCAGAAGGGCTCAGCTCCATAATAAAGGGAGATGTTGAACTACAGGACGTTCCGGATAGGAGCTCGTTGCTTTGAATCTTTGTTAAGCTCTTGAGGACAGTTTCCGTACTCTGGAATTCATGATTGTGCGATTTGTTGCTTGCTTCATTTGTTATTTCGTTGGTAGCGGAGATGACGTCGCTAACACGTGATCACTCAGCATCCTGCTACTCCGCTTCGTGATTTGAACAACAGAGAGATAGGATGGGATGGTATGGACTGGGTTGATATGGCTCTGGATAGGGACCAGTGGAGGGCTCCCGTGAACACGGTAATGAAGCTTTTGGGTTCCATAACATGTGAAATTATTGAGTAGGTGAGCGACTGGCGACTTCATCTACGTGGAGTTACAGCTGGATTCACACACACAGGTGTGCTAGCAGGGAAACCCCTTTCAAATTCTTTCGTGGCTCTTAAGAAGCTCCGTTGCTATATCAACTGGCTACGGGGTACACGGCCACGTGGTCGGATTTCGAGTCCCGGTAGGTGTAAATTTTTTCTTCACGTCCAGACTGGTTCTGGGGCCCACCTAGACTGCTATACAATGAGTGCCGGGGGTAAATCGGCCGGGGCGCGAAGCTGACCACTCACCTCAAGTTAATGCCGAGATCAGTAGCACATGGATCTAACCACCACACCCCCCATGCGTCTTCATTCCGTAGTGGGTATTTAATTAAGCACAGGGATACGTTTGCCTTACCTCTCAGTATCGCTGAGAGTGAAGACTGCCGAGTGAACTTGTTGAGTCAGTGTGTCAGAGCATGGAACTTCCGTTTCTTAACAGAAGCCGCTGTTCAGGCGTGCTGAATGGAGTGGAGAGTTCAGGAGAGTTGCCTCGTCACGGTTGGCCGAGTGGTCTAAGGCATTCACTGTCTTCGTTCGCTCGGAATCCGGGATCCTGGGTTCGAATCCCACTCAGGGCATGGATGTTTAGTGTTTGAATGTGTGTGCGCTTTTCTGTGTTTGTGTACAGGTAGAGGCCTTGCGATGATCCGATCACCCGCCCAAGGAGTCCTGCCGAGTATCTAAGATCAAGTAAACCGAAGTGAAACGTAGAATTTCATGGGCCAAGGCGCAAATTGGGGCTCTAGCGCAGAGATCAAGAACGGTGGAACTATATCTCCACTCCTTCATACGCTTTCATGGGATAGTGCTTAATTGATTAAACACAGGGAAAACTTTACCTTTTACACAGCCTTTTTCAATAATCCCCCCCCCCAAACGACCATTTTGGTGTGTGTACGCGGGAATTCGTTGCCATCCGCAGGAGGACGCGTTACCGGAAGCCATTGAAATTGGCGAGACTGTAGTCTAATGGGAAATTTGGGGTTAGGGGGGCCGCGACTGCTCATCTCACATCGAAACCGAAGCAAGTTGTGTGCCACTTCACGGTGGGGTAGAGCGCGACAACACTGGACAAGTAGCAGTCATAGGGTAGTGTCACACAGTCCGGAAGCTACAAGACTAGCTTCAGGCTCAAATGCGTGCCTCCTGTTGGGGAAGTCGGCGATCTGTGCCATGCCACTTCACGGTGGGGTAGAGCGCGACAACACTGGACAAGTAGCAGTCATAGGGTAGTGTCACACAGTCCGGAAGCTACAAGACTAGCTTCAGGCGCAAATGCGTGCCTCCTGTTGGGGAAGTCGGCAATCTGTGCCATGCATACACAAGCTAAATTGGAGCCTGCATAGCTCAGTCAGGATAGTGGCTGGGGTGCGATGTTTGTCGTCACAAGCGTCCAGTCCGGCTTGAGAGGGGGGGCCACGGAGCCTGCCGCTTTACCCCCGGTACCCATTGGTTAGGAGGCTGGGTGGGCCCCAGAGCCGGTCTGGACATGTTGGAGAAGAGCAAGTCACTTGTGTCTGCCGCGAATCGAACACCGGATCGTCGGTCTTGCAGCCTGAAGGCCAGTCGCTATACCGACTGAGCAATGGGGGCTGTATGAAAGAGAATTGGCAGTTTAACTTGACCTCCTCCTTTACAGGAACACGCAGCCTCCGATGTCGTACCACGGCGAAAACACAGGCGTCTCGGCGCTACAGGAAGACCATTACGATGCTGTTAAGGTAAGTACTTGCGCATTACTTTTAATGCTGTGCATACCAGCTTACATCACTCGCCCCACCATCTCTCTTCTCCATGTTTATATTCCGCAACGATCATTGACCACGTCCCGACTTCTGCGTAGTACTGACATTTGTCGACAGATGTCGGGAGGTTTCAGTTACTGTTCATCGTAGTGTGATCGTTCGCCGGTAGGTGTCGTGTGCGCAGATACAACTGGTGTAAACCTGTGAGACATGGGTTCTTCGGCGGTGACCGAATAGAACTGCCTGTGACGCCGTGTAGTCTGGTAGATAGTTACAAACGCTTCTGTCTCCTTCGTCAGGGTAGAAAAGTGAGGCAGCGGGTCCTGCGAAGCGTTGGTAATGTACCAGAATACACGGGTCACGTCCCGAAAGATTATTATTAACCGGTTTAAGCTTAGTGGCAGCTATAGTACCGCCGGTTTTACATTAAACAGTTATGCGTCTTTGTATGCAGTTCATGTGCTTCATGAGTGAGCTGATCATTTCCCCGAGGAGTATTGGGGAGAGAGCGTGTTTTCTTAAAGGTGAGGACTGATTTTTTTATTGAGATGAGTTTTAGGTTTGAAAGGGATAACATTCAGCTGTTATTGTTCTTTGGGGGGGGGGGACATTCGCGTCCTTGTGAGGCGCCGATATTGAAATACCGTCAGTGCGTCTGATTGTACCCATGAGACATTTCGAGAACCGCTGAACAGATTTTCATGAAATTTCGTATTATTGGTGGGTTTAACTAAAATATATTGAAGCTATACCAGTTTTTTTGTGCTGAAATAGGCTAATAGTAACACAGACTATACATAAAGACCAACATCTGAATAAGTTCATATGTAACTCGCTGAATATTTATTAGAGCGAAAAATGTTCCGCAAGAGAAGACGTATAGAAAAAGCGAAGCATCCATTTTATGTTCATTGCAATTCTTTTTCATAATTCACACGACTTTCGAGAGAATCAGAGGAAAGGAGAGATTGTGCAAAAATTGTTGCAACATGTTTATATTTCCTTGTTTTTTTTTTGTCTGGTTCTGCCTTCCTGGCTTGCTTCGTCACAGTTATTTGCTGGTTTGCCCCACATTTTTTGTCCCACCGTTTTACCTTGTTTTCCCCTTCCTAACCGCAGTGACTGACTGCTCTTTCCGCTTGCCCTTGCATTACTTCTCGCCCCGTCTGTTGTTACGAACATATTCATCGTTCAATGTTAAACATGTATTAATCTAAAGGAGTTTAACTAGTTATGCAAATTAGCGGTGCACCTGATTTATGCCTTGTAAATGGCTTCCTGTTTCTAAACTGTTAACTCAAGTACACTTCTTGATTACTGCATTACGAGCCAATTATATCGTGTCTGAAACATCATTGCACTCACGTCGCCGTCAGTACTGACATAGATCATGGCATTAAGCGATAAACCGCACTAACGAAGCGAAACTCAGCCCTAAAAGGCAAAAAATAACTTATAACACAAATAAACGGACAATTTAATGATATAAGCAGTACTGATGAAGATAAATAACAAAAAATCACCGTACATTTATTCATCCCTAGAAGAGACGTACGTGTTTTTGAACGTAATAATGCAGGTTTGAAGAAACTGTCTCAAGTTTTTTCTGAACAGACAGGTTAGTTAGTTAGTTAGTTAGTTATTGGAGAGGGTGGGTTTCCCCATGCACTTAGACCTGTATTGGTCCATTGTGCTTCCCTCTAGGATTTCTACCAGTCTTTATATCCTACCGGTACTGGTGCTTACCATCAGTACCGCCCAGCCAGCGAGACCGGCTCTACTAGCTGAGAGGTATCTATAATGCTTCCCCCATCTACCAGAGGTATTAGAGACTGCTGTTGGGCGGGAAACGTCCGTAATTTTGGCTCAGTGACCTCCTTTGGANACGGGACCCACAGCTTAAAGTCCCTCCCGGAGGACTTGTTCCCTGAATTTTTCCGCCCTTAAAAATTCGACGACCTCCGCCGGGTATTTGAACCCGCGTACTACGAGTCATGAGGTGGGAACGTTACCTCTAGACTACGGAGGCCGCTGAACAGACAGGTTACTCTTCTGCCTTCCTAAATGTCATGTGTATTTTAAAGCATGTACTCAACTGTGAATAACATTTTTCATATTTCAGTTCGGATTAACCATAACCGAATTAGCGATGGTTTACTGTATTCGAAATTTCTTACATCTCGTTGCACACTCAGGGCTTTTCGTCCGCAAGTTTGCCTGTACGGTGTATGACTAGTCTCAGTGTTCTGCGCGAACAGTAAGAGCTTATTCAGTGGTTGTCATTGAGACAGGTGCTCAAAACGGCTGTCTTAAGGGGGAGTCAACCCACTGCAGAGCGTAGGTGACTCAGAGGGACTAGTCCGGCCCACTCCTGACTCAGTTGCAGTTCTTGACCATAACAAAGGAATTGCTTTTGTAGCAGAAGTTTCCTTTGAAAAATTATCACGCGTAGAGTGTTGTGCGTGACTCATAGACGGGTTTGGATTGGCTGCATGGATTTATTGACACTTCGTACACACAACTCGGGACTACAGGCAGTACGGCGCTATACGGCGCTATCGCTGTTCTAGACACTTTACAGTTCACCGTTGCACACGCACTAGGGTTCTCATTATTCACTAGTCGTATCCTGGCAACGGATTTATAACAGTCTCGCAGTCATCGCAGCACACATGAAGCCCTCTTTTCACTGCGTAATTCCTTTCCTGCTGCCGTTATTCTGCAATTGCCAGCTCAGTTCTTGAAGAGGGAGTCTAAAATAATCTATAATTGGAGACAGTGATTATGAATAGGTAGGAGCTTCTTAGACCAGTTTCAGCTAAGTTTCTGTCAACGGTTGCCATGATGAGATGTCGTCTTACAGGCGGGGGCAGTGGACGCTGGTGCAGTCAACCCTCGCCAATTTGGGGAGAGGGAGGGTGTTCGGATTAGTGAAGCAAAATATAGCCCCAAAAGACGCAAAAAAGAAACTTAGAACACAAATAAATGGAAAACTTAATGATGAAAGTAAATAACAAAATATAACTTCAGAACCTTTATTTAAAAACTGCAAAAAGACAGTACGTTTATTCATCGATAGAAGACTCAGAAGTTGTACTCATTTTTTAACGCAATAAGACAAGTTTCAAGAAACTATCTCATGTTTTGTCTGAACAGACAAGTGACTCATCTGCCTACCTAAATGCCACCTGTGTTTTAAAGCATGCACTCAACTGTTGATAACATTATTCATATTTCGATCCGGATTAACTGTAGCCGGATTAGCGAGGATTTAGTGTGTTTATTATTCCTGGAGTCGTAGTGTCCCAGTTCACGAATCTGTTTACAAACTCGGGCTCTGCGTCATAGAAGACAGTGCATATCTGTTATAACGACAACGTTGTTCTTGCAATTTATGGAAATAATCATTGTTTATTCCGAGAATCACATTGTAGCGTGTAAATCCGTTTCTAGGCAACGGCTCGGTAAACACGTTCCCGCTGCAACGGATACGCATGCAACAGTAGAGGTACTGTTGGAAACGGTGTTTTCCACTCGGCCCGTGCAAAGGGGTTATAAGGAGAACAACTGAAAGAAGAATATTTATGTTGGAAGGGAGCCGCCGTTCAGAGAGGACTTGAGCTCCGGCGGTAGAGGAATAGCCATTGTTAAAGCCGTTACCAGGCAACTACTAGTGAATACGCTGGAAATGATTTAGCGTGTACGCTAGTGATTTGTTACGTGTGTAGAAATTAGCGATGGCCCTGTAATTAAGTGTAATTACGAGTTGTGTACGAAAGTGGTCAGTGAATCCAATATCCAATCTTAACCCCCGCCGAGTGTCACCCTTAGTACATGACAATGTGAAACGCATAAATACGATCAGAGAGTAAAATCCAGCGTTTGTTAGTATTGCATCAGGCGATAGATATAGTAACCACGGTGCTTTGAGGTGGTATTGTAATTGAGAGGCCACGGTGAGGCTGGAAGCCTTCCAACTTTCCACGCGAAGTTCTCTATAGATGGGCAACACCACCTGTGGGTTGGGCTCGCTCTACACAAACATGGTAGCGCCCGCATACTTGCTTCCCTGTTGCGCAGAAAACATAATCGCAAACAGTTGACGATCTTTTTCTTTTTGGCCACATTTATCATGAATTCTCGTGTTTCTTTTCTTTTTGGACGATGAGGTTATTTGAAACTAGGATTATGAGACAGAAGTCGTCATCGGAGGTACGCTGTTCACGTTGTGGTACATAAAAGAATACCACCATAAGTTCTGAGATCTGTCCTCTCGTCGAAGAGGAGGCCTCATTTTAAAACAATTTAAGTGGTCCTGGACGGAACCCCAAACCAAGAATGACTGTGCTGCCGTGGACCAAGAGCAAATTACTGCTGTGGGTCTGAACCCACAGTTTGAGGAACCAGACATCCATCTGTAAAGCCCGACGCGATGACGCGGACGATAGAAAAGAGGTTTCCAGTCTGGCTCCATTGTACTGGATGGTTGAGCAGGAATGTGCCTCAGTCACGCCGTGACTCTGGTTACATTCATGCACGATTTGCCAGAGACCATAGCGTCTTGCGTCAGTCTGAGCAACAGTCAACAGATGGCCGGGGCGCTGATCTGCTTGTGGCCTTACAGGCACTTAGAGAGGAATAGACCACTGCTTGGAACAGAGTTGAGAAGCTGATAATCGCTCAGCTAGTTTCATAACCTTTATCAAGAGAGCCCTCCACTGTTCTCTGTCCTGAGCCAGATTAATCCAGTCCACATCCTTTTGCATCACACTAAGTCGGTTTTAATGTTATCCTATCGTCTACGCCTAGGTCTTCAAAATGGTTGCTTCCTTCCATGTTTTGAGATTATTCGTTCGCATGCATTTCTCATCTCTCCCATGCGTGCTACATACTTACTTATGGAGCTGAGCCCTTCTGGAGGAGTCGCCAGTTCTGCAGCTACTCAAGAATTTCCCAGCATTTTATGGAACCCGAAG